CTTACCTACGGATAAACCACCCTGCCAAATCTAACACGCCTATTTCGACTTAGCCGCCGTAGGTTACACGAGGATTGAAAAGAATTAGCGACAGACTCGCCGACTTACCGAATAACAATATGCAATATATGCAATATGTAGATTAATTCCCAATATCCCAAAATTTAGAATGAAATCAAACTAACCTCACATAGGATTAAAAATGGTTATGCTAATTAATAATGAGGTTTACATTTAAATGCTGAATAAGGTCACAAACTTTTTTCTATAAAATTACTAGGTAAAAAACACGTGAATCTACATGAACTTACATAATGTCTTACGGATATTTTATATAATTTTCGGACCTTCGGTAATCTTGTCCCGCGTCATTTCGGAATTCATGTCGATTTGGAATTGACATGTGCCATTTATTGAACGTGAAATAACCCAGGCTAATTCATAATGCAGATCATAAGACCTACAGCAATGTAATAAACTACTGATAATAATTACATTGATATTTGCATTGATATTTATAAAGATAATTCTTTTATTGTTGCATTTTATTCATTATAATCGAATCGAATTTTACCGTTGTTTATTACATGTTTTCTCAAATACTTATAGATTTGACTGAATATTATTATTATCTTTTATCGAAAAAAGCAAGTTCTAGACAAAACCTTACACGTCTAACTCATAACAATAAAGGATCAACCAATTATAATGACAAACGCCCAACCTATAATCTTAAAGATGACCAAGCTCATAGTATTAATGAGTACTCGCCAAATACATTCATTAAGTGTTAAAAAAAAAACTATAACAATAAAAAAATTCTAATTACATAACTTTTATAACATGCGTGTTACGAATAATAATATTGTTCAAGTCACCGGATACTGCCGTTGCTTAAAGACAATTGCGGCATCAGATTATGTTCCTACAGAAAAAGGAATTCATTATGTTCAGGTAAATACAGATATATTCTACGCGAAAAATACAAAAACTTTTAACTACATTGTTGAATTATATATGAATTTAACATTCAGTTGACATATAACTGATATAATGATTCATCTTTATTTGCTTTTTATTTTACTTTTTTTTTTACTTTATTTAAATGATTTTCAATCTAATTTTTTATTAATCAGTAAGTGGATGCCAATTTAAAAAACACGTCATTCCACAATTCAAAATGACACATGTCAGTCCGAATCGACAAAAAATTCCAAAATGATACAGAACAATTTTATATGAATACAAGCACCGGTTAATATAAATTGCTAAATGATTTATAATTACATAATATTATTATTACCTATTTAAGCAATTATTATGAATAATATTGGAAAGATAATATTAATGAATTCTATGTGGTTAGAATATTTAAATTAATATTAGAATTTAATGCCTTCTAGAAATCACAAAAAATTTGCAAAGTTTGATATTTATATTGAGTCACCAAATCCAATTTTGGTCTTCATATAAATTGAAATATAAAATAAGAATTATTTTTATGCATTTATGGTATTAAATAAAGGTCAATTCTACCAATCTCCTGCAGCGACGTTTCTACAAGGTTTTGGCAACGTTTTAGGACATTCTATTTCTGCAAATTTATAACGAGTGCGATCACCGCTAACTTCGAAACAGCCACTTTTATTGACCCTTGAGATAGTTTGATCTTTGTCTGTACCATCCTTCATGCGGACTACCATATGAGGACAATATGGATCTTTGTTTGGTATGTTATCGCGTTTCGACACCAAACAACGACCAGTGCAATACTTCACACCTCTATCGAACATTGTGTCACCTTTACAATTCGTTATATAGCCATGACATAGACCTGATTCCAAGGTAGAAATGACGATAGATTTAAAACTTTCTATACATTATTCAATAAAATATTTACTATATTAGCTAACATATTAAAATTGATAATTATTATATATTTTCAATAATATTACCTTCTTTATTCTTTTTACCGCTAGCTATGTTGGCTACCAGGCAACATGTGATTAAGACAGTAAGAAAAAAGGTATGAAATTTCATGGTAATTGTCGTTTCCCAGTATAAAAATATATATAATGTTGCAGTAGGATGAGATGGTGAGTACTAGTATAGTTATAATTATAAAAATTGGTCAGATGTAAAAAAAAATACAAAGTACATTTATATTCGTTTCTTAATTTTGGAATCGACAGAAAAATATTATTTTCTCACGAAACGATCACCATAAAGAGCATTACTATCATAAGTTTACAGAAAATCATTGCAGATACATGTTTGATCAAAGTTTCAGTTCATCGAAATCAATAAGTTACGATTGTTTCTCGGACACGTTAATCTCAAAAGGATATAAATTTATGCTAATTTGCCGACGATCAATTAAAACATTAGCATCTGCGGGGCTGATAACTTACTATAGCTTTCATCAGATTTTTGTATTTAGATATATCATTTTTTAGATTTTATTAACTGTATTAAAAGTAGTAAAAGTAAAATACACTGAATAAGAAAAATAAAAAAATATTGTATGAATTTATAGTGGAACAGCTAAATTACTATATAACACATCTGCTACTGCACGACTACCATTTATATTTGGATGTCCATTCCGATAGTTGCACCAGTAAGTATAAATACACCCTGTTTCATTCGTAATAATCTTTCTCATATCCACTACTTTAACTCCATTCTCGTTGTAAACTTTAATTAAACTGTTATCTAGTGCATCAAAATTATTACGTACATTATGATATGTAGTAGCCAAATATTGTACTCCCTCACCTCCTACTTTCTTCAACTCGGGAATTATCTTATTTTTTAAATAGTACACTGTTCTGCGAATCCTTCTATCACATTCGGAATTTTTACAGCCCATAAAATCATTTTTTCCGATACTAATTGTAACAAGTTTTGTTAATCCTCGATTACGTTTTATAAATTTTATAGCATTTGGTAACTGATCTCTAATAAGAGTTCTAGTAGTTTGACCTCCACGTGCAAATTTTTTGAGTACAAGATTTGGATATGTCTCTATGAGACGCTCATGTAATGCGTCTGCATAAGAATAAGAACGAGATCTTTTGACAGCGTCAATAGGTTTGAAAACACCACGCGCAAACGAATCACCTAATACAAGATAATAAATTGTATCATTTGAATATATTTTGGTACCGGTTGAACATATTTTGGTATTATTTGAATATATTTTGGTATTATTTGAATATATTTTGGTATCATTTAAATGTATTTTGGTATCTTTTGAATAAATTTTGGTATCTTTTGAATAAATTTTGGTATCATTTGAATAAATTTTGGTATCTTTTGAATAAATTTTGGTATCGTTTGAATAAATTTTGGTATCGTTTGAATGAATTTTGGTATCATTTGAATGAATTTTGGTATCGTTTGAATGAAATTTGGTATCGTTTGAATGAATTTTGGTATCGTTTGAATAAATTTTGGTATCATTTGAATAAATTTTGGTATCGTTTGAATAAATGTTTGCATCATTTAATTGCGAATTTAATTCAACAAGAAAATGACAATAAAATCCAAAAGTTAATAAGCATAGTAGCAATAATAATTTAAATAAAATCTTTTCACTTAACATCTATCTTTATGAAATAAAATTTTCAAAATATCTAGAATTGATAGATGTTACGTTATAATTATATCATCTATTCACAGTTAGTCCTTAATTTATATTAAAATTTCTTTATGATGAAAAGTAGAAATATGATAATCCTCTAATGTAATATTGAGCGAAGCTAAAAATTGCAATTCATGTAACATTCTATTTAATTATTAAATTAATGCAATATGAATTGCAATTATTAGACTGTTCTAATACTACTCCTTATCATTATTAGATCTTAAATTCGGATGATCCGGATATTCTGCTATTAGCTTATCCGGGTAGCTCATCTGTTTATCTGTTATCCATATAGTGCTTATCCACATTCGTATAGTTGTTACAAACAATTCGTACGTAAATTGGCCTTGTAATTTTTTGGATGTGTTAGTTGCAATATACAGTAAAACCTTTCTAAGCGCACATTCCCTAACTGCACATCCTTTTTAAGTGCACACTAAAGGCCGGCCCCAAGCTTGTGACTTAATGCTAAGTGAACCCTTCAACTTCTGCACGTATATATGTTGGCAAAACCTATGGGATCTGGATTGGTCAGGAGGTTTGACCTGTATCAAAATCTCATGTGGTAAAACTGAACAAATTCCAATCCCAAATCCCAAACTCAAATATCAAACCCTATTCCAAACCCAAATAATGATTATTTAATAAAATTATGAATACTGTAACAATATGAACTTACAAATTGAGTAATCTTAACAAAATCTGTAGGTTTTTATATAATACAAAGATTTTATTTATATTACTTATATATAAAATAGTATAATGAAGTTATAGAAAAATTCTGTAAGTTAGTTAAAAATTCTAATCAATTTATTAACAATTACTTCAAAGGCATTATATTTCACAAATGCTTATTTTATTAACTAGTTTATTTAATAGATAATTAATTTATAATTTTATAAATAGTATAATATTAATATAATTTATTTATAGTTTATTTTACAAAGTAATTCTAATACAGAATTTTAGATAAGATTTAGGATTTAGATAGAGTTTGAAATTTTATCAGAATTTAAAATTATAACAGTTTAAATGGATTTTTTCTAGTTTAAGATTGAAATTTTTCTATATAGAATTTGAGTTTGGGTAAGTTTTTAAAGATCTTAAAGTTTGCAAATATGTATAGTTACAATATTAGTATTTTTATTGCTTTTTATAACTAATAATTTTATAATATTTAATTAAATTACTTTTTGCTAATTTATATTTACAAAAGTGATAAAATAAACTTACAAGCATAATATAAAATATAAAATAGAAATCAATATTTAGATTATTAAAAAAAATTAGTAAAAAAAAATAAATAAACTTTATTAAAACAATATTTAAAAAATTAATATTTTAAAAATTTTTTTAATTTTTAAAAAATTAATAAAAAATTTTAAACAATTTGACAATTTGATTTTAATTGTATACAATATATGTTATAAACAAATAAATAACAATAAATGTTAAAAAACAAAGCAATCATATTCTTTTTAGAAAATTTAAATATATTAAAAAAATAATAAATAAACAATATAAACTTTTTAAAAATATTATATAATTTAAAATATAAAAAATCTATAATCAAAGTTTATTACAATATATATAAAAACAAATAATAAGATTTTTAAATATTTAAATAATAGTAAATTAAATTATATTTTAAGAATAATTAAGATAAAAAACTAAAGACATAAAAATTTATAACAAAAAACTTAATATTTAATATTTTAAATAATATTATAATAAAAGATCTTTTATTTTATAAATAAATTTTTGAGTTTTTAAAATTTAAAACAAGGTAAATAATAAGTAAATCTTAGAAAATTATCAAAGAATAAACTAATAAAATAAAAATAACAAATAAACATTCAGACTAAATAAAAAAAAAATTAAAAAAAATAAAAAGAATAAAAAGAAACTATAAAAAAATTTATAATATTATTTTTTAAAAAAATTAAATATTGTAAATAATAATAAAAATAGAATAAATACAGAAATTAAAAAAAAATAAAAAAAATAAAACTAAATATAAGTAATAATAGCTAAAAACAAAATTAGATTTATTACTAAATAAAACAATAATATTAAACAACAAAAATATAATAAAAACATGTTAAAAAATGTAAAAAAAAACTAAAAATACTAATAATTAATATAATTTAAAATTTTTAAAAATGTTATAAACAAAAAATATCAAAAACTCTTTCTGCCAATCTCAATTTTACAAAAATAAAAAAAGTGTACATCAAAGTTTACTCAAAAACTACTCTAAGAAACAGA